CCACATCGAAAACTTTACTAAATAAAATAAAATATATAATGAATGGTTCCACTACTAGTATCATTGGGGCTTTTTGTGATAAAAATCTTATGTGCCCCAATCTTGGAAACCGTCTACCACGACATCTTAGCCCTCAGGATCTCAAACTTATCTTGCAGCTCCAAAGTTCACTCCTCCACAATAATCATCTTATAGTCGTTAGGATGTCTAGGTCCGAAAGGAGCAATAACACATTCATCTTCGTTAGGATGTCAACTTCAACCTCTTTAAATAATTAGGAACCCAATAATTAAGGTTCATGCCAAAAATCAAATTACAGACTAACCTATTGTTTAAACATACACGAGAGAGAGCAAACCAGTTTCTCAGTAGAACCATCAAATATGGTAGTCTCTCCACATCATCCTTGGAAAAACAATCAGGGTTTTGATAACCTCTAGAATTTCGGTACGACTTTGAAAGAGCTGCTTCAGCATCGTGTGGGTCTGTAACTTCTATGTGTTAAACAAGGAATAAGAGAGAGAGAGAGAGAGAGACACGAAAAGAAATCGTGCTAATTAATGGCTTCTAGAACACATAATAAAATATAAGAATATTAGTTGTCGGCATCAAATCATCAAAGCCAAAGTTGAAATTAGGATGGAACAAATGGAGCTGTTCTATAATTTCTCCACAAACTATTATATACCCATTTAAAATTTTTGACTAAATACCCCTACACTCCAAATCTAGATTTTTCTGATAATCCAAATCCAGAGATTTAGATGACAATATAAGATTAAATTATTTGTGGAGACTATTACAATATATTTATGTTAAGATGTGAACAATAAGGAAACGAAGAAAATATTTAGATTCTAAATGACTCGTTGCATATAGTCATTTCAATTTCATTCTAAATGTACTACAGCTAGTTATTTCAAATACATTCAATTTAATGTTTTTTAATTTCTTTAAAAACAAATGTAGTATTGTTTTCAAATCCAAATCTTTTTTATTTATTTTTTTCAAATATCTTCATCCTAATGAATATACACGTTTTAAGGTTTCAAAACTAATTTGATAAATAAGGTCCCTCTCCAAGCACTCCAAGCACCTGAGAGTTTCTTTTACAGAAAAGGCTTTCCAATCTTTCTTCTCACACATACAAACTCAATGCCCTTCTCTTCTACTTTAAGACTTGGGAGAATCAGTACCTGGAGATGTTCTACTGCAGAGAGCTGTTCATAATTAAAGACCAAATGGGAAAACCACTGGCCAGAAAGTGCTCTCAAGAAGTCGGGTTTGGCTTACTGGTCTCTTTTATTTTGTGCCTTGTATTGTATAGCTTAATTTATTCAAGTTTACTGGGTGTTAACAATGGGGTCAATCTTCTGGTAAACAAACAAGTTCACCCGATTAGTATTGTGAAGATTAACCGCACCGAACATCCATGCTCTGATCGTTACATTTACATCCATGAAGGTCTTCCTAGCAGATTCAACTATGACTTCCTCAACAACTGTGAGTCTCTTACTGCAGGGGCTATGACTGTTAGCAACATTTCAAATATGTGTCCTTACATTGTTAATTTGGGTCTTGGTCCAGTAATTGAAAGCTCCGAAGGGGTTTTAGCCAATGAGAGTTGGTTTTCCACGAACCAGTTCTTGTTAGAAGTCATATTCCACAACAGGATGAAGCAGTATGAGTGTTTGATAGAAAATTACACTCTGGCTTCGGCCATTTATGTCCCATTCTATGCTGGCATAGATGCCAGTGTCCATCTGCTTGATCCTAACCTTACAGCCAGAGACTCTTCGGCGAAAGATCTTGTTCGATGGCTTTCGAGCAAACCCGAATGGAAGAAAATGTGGGGAAGAGACCATTTCTTTGTTGCCGGGAGGGTTTCCTGGGACTTCAGGAGGCAAAGAGACAATAGTTCTAATTGGGGTAGTAAACTCAGGTCCTTGCCTGAGTCTATGAACATGAGCATGTTATCAATTGAAGGAAGCGCATGGAAAAATGACCTTGCTATACCATACCCTACAAGCTTTCATCCTACAGAGGACAGTGAGGTGGTTCAGTGGCAGAAGAGAGTTAGAAAACAAGAAAGGCCTCACTTGTTTGCTTTTGTTGGTGCACCGAGGGCTCGCCAGAAGAATTCTATCCGGGGCAAACTTATTGATCAGTGCCAAGCTTCAACTAATTGCAAGTTTCTACATTGCCGTAAAAACAATTGTGACAACCCGGTTACTATTATGAGGGTGTTTCAGAGCTCAGTTTATTGCTTGCAGCCTCCCGGCGATACGAGCACCAGGAGATCCACTTTTGACTCTTTTGTAGCTGGTTGCATTCCAGTATTCTTTCATCCGGCATCGGCTTACACTCAATACTTATGGCATTTACCAAAAAATCATACCAAGTATTCAGTGTTTATTCCGGTGAGGCTTGCAGAAGATTTGAAAGAAGGCGACATTGAGAAAGTCTTGCTTGGAATTTCAAAGGACAGGGAATTGGCCATGAGAGAGGAGGTTATAAGGCTAATACCAAAGCTGGTGTATGCAGATCCCAGGTCAAGATTGAAGACTCAAGATGCATTTGATTTAGCTGTGCAGGGAATTCTTGAGAGAATAGGAAATGTTAGGAAGGTGATTAGGGAGGGGAAGGATCCTAGTATTGGTTTTGCGGAGTCTGATGGTGGTAAGTTCGCATTTCCCAAGACTAATACCAATAGACTTTATTGAATGCAAATAGATACTTCGTTCTGAGAGCAACCCAAGATGGAAGAACTGGATGGTGTGTAGTTATGTAAAACAAAAATAAAGAAATTGTGTTGTTGTGTTTTAATTATGATTTTAAAACGGGAGATTGATGTTCACTGAAGAAGCTTATGTGCAATTTACAGATTATGATTAATACACGATTCAAGATTATATACACTGCAAGCTGTAGATATAAATTTGATATTGGCTAACGCTTATATGATGTGATATCCCTAGCTCAAAAATCGCACAAACAACGAAGAGAATAAAACGAAGAAAACAATCAATCAAACAATACACAAGATTAACGAGGTTCATCACAAATTAGGCTGTCCCCAGCCAATGATGACAATGACGACTAGCAAAGTTACAACAAAGAGGACATAGCTTATTCTCTCACATACTGGCAAGTAATTTGACTTCTTTCAACCCTTCTCAATAGAGACCCAGTCCCAACAACTCCCTCTCACATTGCTTGAAACGTTTGATAACTATTTTAGTTTTTCAATTTTGTTCTCACTTTTCACTTTCGAATTTTTAGTTTTCAGTTTTCATTCTAAAAAACTGAAATATAACTGTTTTCAGTTTCCAAATTTTTTTTTTAAAAAAAACCTATTTAAAAGTTGTTTGGTACTCTTTCAGTTTTTGTTTTTCTCTGTGTCATGTGCACGAATGTGACACAAATTACGGGATCCTCGAGAAGAAAGTAATAAATAAATAAATCATTTATATCCAATTTGTTTATTGCTAGGTGGTAAATCAACCGATCCTCAAGTGTTATTTTGCGTAATGAATTCTCATGCTGGTTCATGACTCAATCATCGACATGCATGCCATTGTTTCAAACATTTAAATGCATATTTGATTGTTGGGTTAATAAATACAAGAAGGCTGTGTGTTTGGTTGTATGTTCAATAAATATTGTCAAAATAAATTGCACATATACATCAATGTTATTGGGCCGCACGAAGATGTAAGGATGAGAAGATCCTTACTCGTGAGTGATGTCCCAAGTAGTGTCCTTTTAATTTTCACCCTCTTTGTCTTCTCTCTTTCTCTCTCTTCACGAAAGCGGTGGTGGAGTGTTTTTTGGAGACGCGCCCGGGGGGGGGGGGGGGGGGGGGGGTTGGCGGTGGAGTGGCATGAGGTTTTCCCTTTTGTTTTGGTTTTGTTATGCTTTTCTTCCACTCATAATAGGCGATTGTGTCTCAATGTTGGATCTCCACCACCACCATCCTCTGCTCCTTGGTACCACGGGTAGCTCTTTCGTCGTTGATCCTCGATGGCACTCTATGGTATGAGGTTGCTTTTAAAGTGCATTTGGCACTTATTGCGTTGGTGGCTTGCCCACCACCATTTTCAGTCATTTTGTGTTGCATTTGTTTGAACTCTATGAGTTCACTATGATATAACTAGCTTCGGCTTTCTATTAATAAACTTGTTACAAGGGGAAGGGGAAGGGGGTTTCTCACTCAAACACACACACTACCATGATGCTATGGGGGTTCGAACCTAAGACCACTTGTCTACAAGTCAGAATCATTTTCCACTAGCTAGATCTCGCACAATTCTTTTGTCTTCCACAATTCACATAAATGCCATTCTAAAACATCCTCAACCAGCATGACACATGAGATAGGAACTACTGATACAATTCAACTATTAATCAGTTCACATATATGCCCGTACTTAAGAAGTCAATACAATGGGTGATATATATATATATATATATATAGGTTATTGATTTTATGAAAGGTAGATTTGTTTTGGGTAGTTTTATCTTCTTAAGCAGATCACAAACACTCGGCTTTCAAAAGTGGAAAGATAACAAACTACACCAAAAATTAGTCTTAAATAAATTAATGAAAGGAAGTTCCTTACAAGAAAATGCTATGGTGCATATTGCATATACACTAACACAATTTGGTGCACTAGTACAGGTGGTTTTCTTTTGCAACTGATTTTGACCATTAGATGAAATATCAGCTTACAGCTTTTTGGGAATGATAAAATATCTGCTTACAGTTTCGTAGAGAATTTACATTATAATTGACAAAGAAGGTTGAAGCCACGTGTTCTATGCACTTTGGACATAACAAGCGGTGAGTTCGGCTGAAGAAGAAAGATTGAGACAAAAACAAAAATGAGTAGAAACGTTGAATGGACTAGAGAACAGAAGGAGCAATCGGCTGAGGTTGACATGTTTGTCGGTGGTATAATCTCAATCAAAATTGCCGGGACTTTATTTGCAGAGAATAGTTGTGGTTCCAAACTGATGCATCATGATTGATTTGTGATGTATCAGTAAAATTAACACAAATAATATTTCAAAGCTATAACTTATCATAGCCTCTTGCGTGTTCAATTCAGTTTAGTTTTTTAGGCTTCATTTACAAACCAAGTTCTCTCATTTTCCTCCTCACGGAGTCTCTGTCCATACACGAATGGGGAAACCACCGCCCGGAAAGTGCTCTCAAGAAGTCTGGTTTGGCCTACTAGTTTCTTTTCTTTTGTGCCTTGTATTGCTTTGCTTGAACTATTCAACTTCATTGGGTGCCAACAATGGGATCGATCTTTCGATGAGTAAACAAGTTCGTCCAATTGGTGTTACGAAGATTAACGACACCGAAGATTCATGCTCCGATCGCTACATTTATATCCATGAGGATCTTCCTTCCAAATTCAACAGTGAATTCCTCATCAACTGCAAGTCTATTTCTGCAGGGATTAGTAGTAGTAGCACACCAAGTATGTGTCCTGACCTTGTGAATTTGGGTCTTGGTCCTAAAATTGAAAACTCTGATGGGGTTTTAGCCAACGAGAGTTGGTTTATCACAAATCCTTACTTGTTAGAAGTCATATTCCACAACAAGATGAAGAAGTACGAGTGTTTGACAAGCAACTCCACTCTGGCTTCTGCCATTTATGTGCCATTCTATACTGGCATGGATGCCAGTGTTCATTTGTGGAATTCTAACCTCACTATCAGAGACTCTTCAGCTAAGAATTTGGTCAAGTGGCTTTCGGGGCAACCCGAATGGAAGAAAATGTGGGGCAGAGACCATTTCTTTGTTTCTGGGAGGACTTCTTGGGATTTTAGGAGGGTAAGAGACAATAGTTCTGAGTGGGGTAGTAAACTCAGGTTCTTGCCAGAGTCCATGAACATGACTATGTTATCAATGGAAGGAAGCCTTTGGAAAAATGACATTGCTATACCATACCCTACAAGCTTTCATCCTGCAAAGGACAGTGAGGTGGTTCAATGGCAGAACAGAGTGAGACAACAAGAAAGGCCTTACTTGTTTGCTTTTGTTGGTGCACCAAGGCCTCACCTGCAAGGTTCTATCCGGGGCAAAATTATTGATCATTGCCAAGCATCAACTACTTGCAAGTTTTTGCATTGCGGTGAAAACAATTGTCACAACCCGGTTAATATTATGAGGGTGTTTCAGAGCTCAGTCTATTGCCTGCAGCCTCGAGGGGATTCAGACACTAGGAGGTCAGCTTTCGACGCTATTCTGGCTGGTTGTATTCCAGTCTTTTTTCATCCTGCCACCGCGTTTTCTCAATATTTGTGGTATTTACCAAAGAATCATACCAAGTATTCCGTGTTTATTCCGGTGAGGGATGTAAAAGATTTGAAAGAAGAAGGCATCATTGAGAAAGTCTTGCAGGGAATTTCAAAGGACAGGGAATTGGCCATGAGAGAGGAGGTTATAAGGATAATACCAAAGCTGGTATATGCAGATCCCGGGTCAAGATTAGACACTCCAGATGCCTTTGATATAGCTGTGCAGGGAATTCTTGAGAGAACAGAGAATGTTAGAAAGGTGATTAGAGAGGGGAGGGATCCTAGTATTGGTTTTGCAGAGGTTGATGGTACTAAGTTCACATTTCCTGATACAGTAGACTAACTATAGACTTGGTTGAATGCAGTATATACTTTCTGAGTGAAGATACAGAAATTGGGGGGGGGGAAGAGGAGAGAGGAAGAACAGCTTATGTAGAGAAATAAAATATAAAGAAAAGATCTGATGTTCTATTGTTTTTAAACTTTAAATTTATAGACCATAAATTTGTATTCCACTATGCGATTATTCTCCGTTGTTTGATGTCGATTGCAGAAGCTTTCCAGAAAGTTACAGATATAACTCTGTCCTGTGAGTATGGTTTGAGAGTTTGCACCATTGTTGCTCACTCATTTGCAAAAGTTTCTTGGAACTGTGATTAACTTACTGACTGAGGCCTCATTTCCGAGATGATGTATTCGTTGCTTAGGCGAATGAAATTGCTTTAGCTATTAAAAGAGATAGTACATTAACAGATCATATATGAAATGAAAGCTGAATATGGTAGCTTGCTTAGTTGAATATCATGTATACCTTGCTTAGCTCAATGAAAGCTGATATGGTGGTTTGCGTTTATACCAATTTCAAATTCCAAAGGATTTGCCTAAACTATACCTAGAGTAGCTCATACTCTCAATTATTCTCAATAAATTCATATTGAATTCAGAATTAACTAAGTTAGAGGCATATATGTGAACCTTCAACATTCAAATTTAGGATATATATATATATATGGGTACAGGGAGCTTCAGTTGAGGGATCTTTCAAATAAGCTTATTTCAGGGACACTCTTGTAGGGCCCACTCCATATCGTATTTCACTAATCCAAACCATCTATTTTGTAGATACTCATTCAAAGATCATCTATACAAAAAAAAAATCACTTGAATCCGATATTATTTGACCACTCAATTGAATTATTGAAATTTTATTACTTTCTTAAAGCACCGTATTCATTGATTTTGTATGACACAATTGGATATCGAAACGGTTTCGAATTTGTTTAATTTTTTGCAATGATGATCTATGAATGAAGACCTAAAAAATAGATGGTTTGGATCATTGAAAAAAAATTCGTAAGGTACCCTAAAAGACGTCTCTCAAATAAAATTATATATATATATATATGTTATACACCCCCCGAACTAGGATCCCAATCGAACTTAACCCCCTGAATTAAAAATTCAGCCAATTTAACACCCGAATTAATTAAAATAACCAATTTAACACATGCCATTAGATTTTATCACATTTCATCCATAAGTCCATCAGAAGTGGACCTTCACGAACGACACCATGAGCAGCAAGAACCCGATCGTGAACATGAAGAACCTAGAGAAGGAGTCGGAAATCTAAATCAAGAGTTGATCGTGAGGCGTGGACTCGAGCAGCTTCTTCGTAGTCTCGATCCCAACCCAGACAATCGAATCGAATGTAAAATTGCCCTAAATTGCCCTGATTTTTTACTAAAGGTTTTTGGGTTTATGGTAAGGTCGAAATTGCCCTCTAGGTTTGTTCCATGTGTGCCTCATGTGACATTTTGGACGGAATTATGGATGAAATCCAATGAAAACTAACGGTAAGGGTGAAATTAGTGATATTTATTAATTCATGGACTAAATTGACTGATTTTTTAATTTATGGAGTTAGGTTCAATAAAGGTCATAGTTGAGGAGTAAAACGGCTGAAAGTAATAAGTTTTCTTGTTTGCTACAAATAATGAGTTGATTGCATACAGTCTGTCACCATAACTCGATCGAGATATTCAAAGTCATGGTTTTGTATCGTTGCTTTGATCAGCCATAGAAAGAATCCACTTTACTTGGTCAGCAAATTAATTGGAAAAATATCCTGTTTATAATAAAAATTACTTAAAAGGGTAGAATTAAACAGAAACTAAAAAATAAAAAACTTTTGTAAACCTTTAAGAATATGAACATTTTTTTCCTTGCACGTGTCCACAAGCCCAGAAGGACCAGATCATTAAGGCTACTAGAAGCACCCGATGGATACGGTCTACGCTGATTTGCAGGAAAAGGAGAAAACCAACCCCATAGACTCCTTCCCAATGTGACAATGTCCCAAAACACTAGTTTTCTTAATGCAAAATTTTCATTCTGAATATTAAATTAAATTATTTTTAAAAAAAGAAAAAAGAGAAAAAGAGAAACAAAAGAAACGAAAGAACAGAGGATAATGTCATTCTTCTTCCTTTTCTTCATCTCCTCCTACCGCTTTCATGAAGCGGGCACCTCCGCGGCCGGGACACCAACATCATCGTCCATAAAAACACCAACACCCCCAACATGCCTCCTCAGATACCATACCAGGTATTTTCTGTCTAGAAGATTAAGGTTGTGCTGGTTTTAGAGAGAGAACTGTGATTCACGTGAAAGGCTGTTTATTATTAGCGGCAGACTTGTATATACCTGGAGTTGAAAGGTTGTTTATTGTCTTGTTCCTGTTGGGTGGCCAACAGGGACTTGTTATTAACAAATTTATAGTTTTGAGGGCTCTGTCAAAAAAAAAAAAAAATCAGATTCTTTTAGTGATTCATAGTTTTGAGGTAAGTCCCTTTTGATTGGTTTTCTTTATCTATTTTGATAGTTTGCCTCATTTGTCCTCTTCATATCCCTTTTCCCTTTTCTCCTCCATCTTCCTGATCTTATTGGATTGATTGGCTTTTCCTCTTTTTGACCACTTACCATGCATATCCCATCTCCCTTTCTTTCCCCATTCCAAATCCCATATCAATCTTAATTACATTTCCCATTTCTTTCAACTTCCCCTATATATTCCACTGATCATACTAGAGACATAATTCGAATTCAAACAGTGGTTTACCATATATATAAATATTTTCCATGCCTCTCTCTTCTGCCTTGTTACTAATTCGGTGAACCGGTGATCGGAGACATTCTAGTCTGGCTGAGAGAGCCTGCTCATGATTGATTGAAGATCAAATGGAGAAACCACTTGCCGGAAAGTGCCACAAAGAAGTCTGGTTTGGCATTCTAGTCTCCTTTGTTTTGTGCTTTACCATTCTTTGCTTTGATTATTCAACGTCAATGTTGGGCGTCTACAATGGGGTCAATCTCTTAGTCAGACGTGTTCATCCATACATCACCAGAGATTCGTGTTACGGACGTTACATTTATGTTCATGATGATCTTCCTGCCAAATTCAACGATGATCTCCTCAAAAACTGCCAGAATCTTACTACAGGGAGCAAGCCTAAGAATAGTGACACACAAAATATGTGTCGTTACATCGTGAATTTGGGGCTTGGTCCTGAGATTGAGGAACCAGAAGGGGTTTTAGCCAACGAGAGTTGGTTCATCACAAATCCTTACTTGTTAGAAGTCATATTCCACAACAAGATGAAGCAGTACAAGTGTTTGACAAACAACTCCAATCAGGCTTCAGCCATTTATGTACCATCCTATGCTGGCCTTGATGCCAGCCTCCATCTGTGGGATTTTAACCTCACGGTCAGAGACTATTCAGCGAAAGATCTAGTGGGATGGCTTTCGGGCAAGCCCGAATGGAAGAAAATGTGGGGGAGAGATCATTTCATGGTTGCTGGGAGGACTTCTTGGGACTTCAGGAGGCAAAAGGAGAATAGTTCTGATTGGGGTACTAATCTCAGGTTTTTGCCAGAGTCCATGAACATGAGCATGTTATCTGTTGAAGGAAGCCTTTGGAAAAATGACTTTGCCATACCATATCCCACAAATTTCCATCCTAAAAATGACAATGATGTGGTTCAATGGCAGAACAGAGTCAGAAGCCAAAAGAGGCCTTTCTTGTTCACTTTTGTTGGTGCGCCAAGGCCTGACATGAAAGATTCAATCCGGGGCAAGCTTATTGATCAGTGCCAAACTTCAAGCAACTGCAAGTTCTTACATTGTGGTTCTTCTGGGATTAATTGTAACAACCCGGTTACTGTTATGAGGGTGTTTGAGAGCTCTGTTTATTGCTTGCAGCCTCCAGGGGATTCACACACTAGAAGATCAACTTTCGACTCGTTTCTGGCAGGCTGCATTCCGGTTTTCTTCCATCCTGCAACTGCGTATACACAGTATTTGTGGCATTTACCGGAGAATCATACCAAGTATTCGGTGTTTATTCCGGTGAAAGAAGTTGAAGATTTGAAAGAAGGCATCATTGAGAAAACTTTGCTTGGAATTTCAAAGCATGAGGCATTGGCCATGAGAGAGGAGGTTATAAGGCTAATACCAAATTTGGTATATGCAGATCCCAGGTCAAGATTAGAGACTGAAGACGCATTCGATATAGCTGTACAGGGAATTCTTGAGAGGATAGAGAATGTTAGGGAGGTTATTAGAGAGAGGAAGGATCCTAGTATTGGTTTTGCAGATGAGGATAATTTTAAGTTTACATTTCCTGAGACACCAGAATAAACTTGGTAGATTGTGTTTAGAGAACAAAAAGAGATAGAAGAACATTGCAGGATATTGAAATTCATCGAACTATAATTACTTCCATTTGGTTGTAGAAATATTATATGAGACAATGCCATTTCTTACCTCTGTGCTTCTTACACTAGCAACTAAAGAATTTATATTTAGTCATTTTTTTCAGAAAGTAAACAAGAGAAGAAAAAAAAAATAGAAAGGTTATTATATAAAGTACATTGTAAGTTTGAATAAATAGAAGATACATTTTGTGTAGAGGTCGCTATACTATGAGTTTGGCAAAAGCTAGGGTCATCCGTGTAATCTTTCTTCTTGCTTTCCGGGCTTCAGCGCCCCCTCTCTCTCAGCAACCAAAAAAGTAAAAGTAAAAAGGAGAAATATTTTTGGGGCCCGTCTAATAGTCATTTCGATTTTAGTTTTTAATTTTTTATTATTATTTATTTATTTATTAGAGTATAAAGGAACATGATAGTAAAAGAGAGAGAGAGAGAGAGAATGATGAGAGGGAGGAGTAACAAAAGTGAAAACAATTTAAAATATATTTCAGTTTTTAGTTTTTGTGTTAACTTTTGTTACTCATTCATCCCATCCTCCCCTCTCATCTTCTCTCTCAATCTCATCTTCACTGTCATTCTCATTGAAATTTTAATACTCTAGCAAAATATATGAAAGCTAAAAACTAAAGTTGAAATGGTTATCAAACGGGACTTTATATTCTCACAAACACGTGAGTGATTGTTAGTCGAAGAATGTCACGAATCACTTGAAAATTTTAAAAATAATTTAATAAGTACTTGGAAGCATATTCATGGAGGAGGATTATGAACTTATTCCCCCAAGCCTCATTGTTTAAACAAGCTT